ATGAATACTTTATGTATTTTTTTCTGCGAAATATAATTGATGTTTAAGGGCATGACAGATCAACGGGAAGGCCGGCATAAAGATGTAACTGAATTATAACATAATTATGCCGCAGGATAATATATTTTACTATACTAATTAAGTTATCATTTTGAAACGAAAACGCATTAAAGAATTTCGGTTAACATTAATGAGTGAACACAGGGATGCAAGGTTTATGATGCCAAATTGGTTCACCCGAACTACACTACCCTTCGTCAAATCTTTAGATGCACTCTCAGACGACTATACCTTTCTGTCTGGTTAAAAACATTTCAAGATACGTAAACTCCCTATGCGTCATCTTACGGCCTGTGGGTATTCAGAGGATTTTCTGCATGCCTCACGGACTAAACACGCTTGCAGATATTTTTCATGCATTGTCTAATGTCTTCTCCAATATGTCAAGTGCAATTACCTGAAATTCTCATTATGTCTGGCAGGATTCTATTCGTCAATCACCGTCTATTAGAAAACAGATGAATTGGGTTGTTATATTGTATCAAATTATAACTTCGACTATCTTCGTAATAAGTGAAATTACCTAACCTGTGCTTAATTCCCTCGGAAAGACATATTACGTCATCTGTAGTCATCCAGCTAGGGCAAGATTCATTTTACAGAGTCATAAGACCACGTAGATAAATCACCGAAATTGCCCGCTATATCTGAGACGAGCTGGATGACCTTTGCTTTTAATAAGCTAACGGTCCTTAAGCACTGAGTTAAAACCATGTTTTGCCCCCACATAAACACGGCTAGAAGATAAAAAATTATTGAAATTCTGTAAGCCCCAATCTCATCGCCCCATCCGGAGTGAACGTACAACAATGTGAATCGTCGTCCTCGGAATTCTGTACAACTCCAGTAACACAGACGCACAGAAGATCCTAATTTGCTGCGGTGAAACACTACAGCCAGCTTCAAACCTACAAATGGAGCTAACGCATTATACTGGCTCTAAAATTGCTGTGAAATACAGCAGTGATTCGGGCGCTTCTCCAAGATTGCCATCTTCGACTGCGTAAATACAACAGGGTTTTGAGCCAGACGGTTACAAAGTGCGTCGAACTCATCGGTGATGACGGAGTCGCGCAGTTGCAACAAGCGATTAATAAACGGGCCCGGAACATGCGGGAAACAAGAGATGCCGTGCTGGCGGTCAAGCTCCAAAGCATAAGCAAATCATCTCAAGAGGACAACGAAGTCCTGGTGCACAATTTGTCCTCTAAGCAGCCGACGCCTCCACAAATGAAAGTGCTGAGTCATAAGGTTTGCTTCAACACCACAGACGCCGATCCAGTCAATCTCGTGGCCACGGTAGAGTCGATTCTCAAACAAACCGGGGAATCCGACGAAACAAAGCAGCTCATTCGGCAGCAGGTAGCCTCCTTGGCGATGTCACACAAACCGCGTGCAACTATTACCAAGGCCGAACAGAGCGCTCTCAAGACACTGAGGTCTGACACCAGCATCGTGATTCTACCAGCAGACAAAGGGCATTCCCCAGTTGTGATGAATAAGGCAGACTTCATTCAGAAAGCCAATGTCCTACTGGAGGACCGACAGGCGTACCTACCATGTAACGATGAACCGATGAGGAGGCTGGTGACGCAACTGGACAAGACACTTGCCGATATGCAAACGAACAAGGCAATAAGTAAATCGGTACGACTGGCCATTAAGCCAGTAGACGCCGCCGCACCACGCTTTTACGGACTTCCAAAGGTACACAAAGCCGGGGTCCCCCTCCGGCCAATCGTATCATTGCGCGGCGCACCTACATTCAATTTGACCAAATGGATGTTCCGAAACCTGAGGTCTCTCACTTTGAACGCGGGCACGACGGTCTGTTCAGCGACTCAGTTCCTGGAGCGGATCAAATGGATGAGACTTACCGAAAACGAGGTCATGGTGTCATTCGACGTCACCTTTTCGGTACATACGCAAAATGGACGAAAGGCCTAACCACACGGACACCAAAGTTTAGCGAGCGCTTCCACATGTCAAGAACGTTTTGGAAGCTGTTTGCCGCCTTCTCGCACTACTTGGGGTTGGAGTTGCACACAGGCCAGAGGCAACCATCAGGCGTCAGTTGATGAAACCAAAAGATCCACTGTCACGGCAAGATACGTCTGTAGTCGTTTATCGGATCTGGTGCAGTTGTGGACAAAGCAACTACGTCTGAGAAACCGGAAGACAGCTCCGAACGCGAATGGCCGAACACGCTGCAGCGGTGCGGAGAAATGACGCCAGCTCTCAAGTTGCGGCTCATTCGACGGGATCCAGCCACACATTCAAAATTGACGAGGCCGAAATTTTTGCATGAGATGACAACCGCGTGACACGGGAGCTGCTTGAGTCATGGTTTACTGGCCCCCCGGTCTATTAACAAGTGCAATGATCTTCCCATGCAATACTCGGTGCTGAGACTTCGTCTAGGCGAAGTAATTGGCCCCGCGGGAAGCGCACTGCTAAACACTTCCTAACACCCGTGTCAGCGCGTCAGATGGTCGAGCAATCCTTACATCAACATCCAACGCACGTGATGAAATTGCAGCAATTATCGACGCGAATATCAGCCATCACGCCACGTGCAACGATCCCTGATGAAGGGGAGGGAGCCGTAAATATTCATAGGTATGCGGTAGCATGGCTACTCCATCCTATAAATACTGCAGCCGCATATGCATGAACCACCCTTATCTGCTTATGTCTC